GTGATTTGTCCTTTTCATATGTGTTCACTTTTTTTTAATTGTATCCTTTGGTATATATGGTTGTGACTATTTTCTTCCACTATTTGATCTGAGGAAGTGGATCTGGCCCACGAAAGCTCATCATCTAATAAACCATCTTGTTAGTCTTTAAAGTGCTACATTGTCCTGCATTTTGCTTCAGCTACCCCAGACCAACACGGCTACATTTCTATCACTATTCTGAATGCACTGTGTGCTCACAAGAGCATTTGCAACCCAGGCCTTGGATGGGCAGATGGACCAACGCTCATCAGTAAGAAACCCTTGGACCATTCAGCTGAGTGCTGAGTGCCTGGAAGCAGCCTCTCTCACAATGCCCCTGGGCCAGCACATCCTCAAAGGGATTTAGGTGACCATAGGGAGTTAAGAACATGAGAACGGCCATATTGGGTCAGACCAATGGTCATCCAGCCCAGTATCCTGTCTGCCGACCATAGTCAATACCAGGTGCCCCAGAGGGAGGGATCACAACAGGTAATCCTCATATGCTCCCTTCCCTGTCTACCACCTCCAGACAAAAAGAGACTAGGGACACTATTTCTTATTATATTATATTATGTAAATAACTTTTCCTTATTCATTTTTTCCACACCAGTCATGATTGTATAGACCTCTATCATATTCCCCCTTAGTCACTTCTTTTTTAAGTGGAAAAGTCCAAATCTTTTTAATCTCTCTTCATACGGGACCCGTTCTAAACCCCTCATCATTTTTGTTACCCTTTTCTGAATCTTTTCCAATGCCAATATCACTTTTTGGGAGTTAGGCACCTAAATCCCTTTTGAGGAGCTAGGTTTGAAATTTTCCAGGTAAGTGAGATGAGTGAGCATTTCTGCAGCATTTCTCCTTTGTGCCCATCTCGCTCACACTCCTGAGCAAGCAGGATGCACCCTCGGCAGAGAAGGGACCGAAACAGCTAATGCAACGGGGCCAGTACAATGTTCCCTTGAACCTGTTCTATCCACGTGCAATTTATTTTCCCAGCCATTTGTGAATTATTGTTTCCATGGCCTGAGGCACGTTCTCATGTGCACCACGAGTAGAAATACAAACCCGTGCTGTGGGCGCTCTGCTAATCAGCCAGGTGGCATTTGAAGTTCTCCTGAGCAGCCGCACAAGCGCCCAGCTTGGGGCGAAGGGGGTCCAGCGTTGCAGCTGGGGGTTGGGTGGTGAGATTCCCCCCTAGTCGCAATTGCATTGGAAACAGCTTGACATGTTCTCACCCTGTCCACCCCCAACACACACACACACTCTGGTCTTGGTCCATCCTCTCTGACCCAGGTGGTATCCAGGTGCGCCTTTCGTGGCAGCGCCCCGAGAAGTGGAGATTGAGCTCTCGTTCAGTAGGCCAGGACCCTGGAAGGTGTCTGGGCACCTAACTCCCAGAGGAGTCGCCTACAGAGCTGTGAGGAGCTGGAGCCACAGCAGGATTGGGGCCTGCTGCTCCCCTGTCTGGCACCTTCTCAAAACAGGAGCTTTTTGTGCCACTTGGCACAGGTATAAATGACCATCGGGTGGAGTCAGGCCCTGATTCGTGGGGCAGGATTCCAACCCTGAGACTCCCCTGTGTGCAGCATTGTTACGCCTCCGTCCCGGAGGAAGGGGGAAAGAGGGGGTGGGGGGTCCCCCCTTTCTGACTGGTTTGACACCAGACACGCTAAGTTTTCTAATTAAAGACCTTTAATTACACTATGCTCGCCGCGCCGATCCCGCACAACGCGACCGTGGCCCCAATGACCACTCTTTTGGGAAAGGGTGAGAGGGAGGGGGTCCGGGCCCGCCCTCACTCCGGACCCCGACCCAGGGCCCTAAAGCCAGGACGCTCGTCCTAGCTAATAACGGGGGGGGGTCTGCGAACCCTAAACTCCCCCGCTCTCGGGTTCCGCGGCCCAGCCCTGGGTCACTTCTCCCTCTTCCCCAAGTCCCTCTCCCTCCTCGCTGGCCCCCGGGGTTTCACCTCACCCAGGAGCGCCAGTATTCGCTTCCCCGCGGCCCTCCGGGGGTCTCCCGATCACCCTGCTCGCCTCCCCTCTCCTGGGCGGGCGGCCGGGCATTTAAATCTTCCGCCCGACGCCGGGGGATGACGTCTCCCCCGACGTCCTTTATGCGCGCCGCCTGGCCCCGTCGCGGGGGTGACGTCATGCCCCGCGCCGGGCTGGGTGGACGCCGCTCCCCTGGGCGGCGT